GAATGTAACCTTACGTCAACCTGGAGCTCCTGGTGCAGTCGTGACTTTACATGGAAGATTTGAAATTTTATCACTTTCTGGGTCATTTTTACCTCCTCCAGCACCACCGGCTGCATCAGGGTTGACCATATATTTAGCCGGTGGTCAAGGTCAGGTAGTTGGAGGAAGCGTGGTGGGTCCACTTGTTGCTTCAGGTCCGGTGGTGATCATGGCAGCTTCTTTTGGTAATGCGGCGTACGAAAGGCTTCCCTTGGAGGAAGAGGAGCAGCCGGTGGCGCCGATTCCTGGAAGTGGACCCTTAGGGTCACCGAGTAGCATGGTCGGGCAGCAGCAGCAGCCGCCACAGCAGCAGCAACTATTGCAAGATCCCAACGGATCGTTTGTTCAAGGGTTGCCACCAAATCTTCTAAACTCAGTCCAATTGCCAGCTGAGGCCTACTGGGGCACAGGTCGTCCCCCTTATTAACAAAAACAGACAGTTTCGGGTTCTTTTTTCTTTTTTTTCTTTCTCCTTAACTATTCCCCTTTCACCTCTTGTTAGTTTGACCTTTGGTTCACCTCTCATTCTTCTTCTTTTATAAGATAGCAGTTTCATGTTTTAATTAAGTCTTAAATTTGTTGATCATGGGATTCATCTGGCTTTGATTTGAAGAAGGATGTACAAATTTCATGGATTTCTCTCTGATGGGTTTTCTCTTTTCCTAGTATTTTTATAAGAATAGCCTTTTTCCAATTGTCCTCATTATAGTAGCTTAACGATGAAGAAGCTCCAGTTGAGGGCTCTCTCTCTCCATTCCTTTTCACCTTGTCTGATGAGAATTGTTCTTCCGACAAATAAAAAAACAAAACACCTTTTTATTAGGGTTCCTTTTCTTGTGCATAATATACTTTTAAGTTTCAGATTCTGTTACACCATCCAAATCCTTAAATACTACTACCAGAATAAAATTCTATCAGTTTATGTGGTGCAATTGTCATTAATACTATACCATAAATAACATAATGTATTTTTTCTTCCTTGCTTAGCAGGTACCTTCTTCCACTCTAAACACAAACTACTACTACTGCTACTAATTATAGAACTGATTTATTAGTATTAATTAATTAAGGGTTTTTATTTTTACATTATGATGGAAGAAATTCTAATATTTGGATGAATATGGACATGAATATATATGGTTTATTTAATCTAGTCCTGTTTGAAGGATGGTCGGGGGGGCGGGAGGAGATGGCAAATCATGACTTGAAGAAAGCAAGGTGATGGGAAGTTATGGGCTTAGGGTTTTGCTGTCTTTTTTCTTTGTAAGTATCCCTTTTTTCTTCTCTTTCTGACTTGCCTAGGGTTCATTATGGAATCAGAGGTGAACATTGGGTACTGAGTTACACGTGCGCTGCTCTGTTAAAAAAAAAAATGCTCCTTTTCGAGGCAACCATTTTACATACGGATAACCAGGACAAACTGATCTCAAGCGTTAAAGTTGTCCCTTCTCCCCCCTCTTTCTCTCTTTCTCTTTCTCTTTCTCTTGAAAAAAACTGTCACTGCCACCATACAAGCAAAAGGGGTGGGAGGCAAGTTCTTTGCTGATGCAAAGTAAAGAGTTTGTCTTGATTCTGTAATGGATATGCTTTCTTAGGGCTTTTAAACCCTAGCTCTCTCTGCTAGTTCTCCAACCTGAAACTTTACTAGTTCCTCCTTGGGTTCTTTTATATCTTGTAGACTTCCCCATTTCTTCTCATTATCAGAGGTCATCATCATCAGTTCCATTGCATGTACTATATATTTATCTATAAATCATTTTCTGAGAGTTCTCTTGCAGTTCTAATTTTCCTTAATCTGAATATTTGCTAGAGCTCTTAACAGTGCATGCATTTTTGCTTCCTATATGCACATATGTATCAAACCTGCTTCCTGGGTTTTCTCATTAAACCCTAAATTTCATCTTTCATGTATGTTTTTTCCTAGCTAGCCAACCAATCTTAAATTTGGGTTTTGCTTAATCTTCTAAGACTGGTGACAATTATTCCAGTACATTGGATGGATCTTACAGCTAGTTATCTTCATCTTTTCAGCTTTTTGAAATCATAAATTAATCGAGATAGAAAACCATTTGATATTTTTGGTGTCAACTAGGGGATGATTTTGTTTGCAAAGTTTGCAGAGTACAAGGTTTTTAATCCGAACTGCTATTATAAAATGAATATATCAGCTTGAGAGTTTGTTACAAGTTGGAAGTAATAATTTTGGTGGACCATGTACCTGTCTAATGTGGTTTGAGACAAATGCCATTCTGGTTCTTCATGATTAACATCGATCTCTTTGATTCTTTGAACTACACTTCAATGATTATCACTGCATAAAATATTAAGATTCCCTTATTTTTTACCTTCTGCTTTCCCCTTTTTGGTAGCTATGTATCTCAAGAAACTCAAAGAGCAAAGCATAATAATGGCCACTTTGTAGACTAGCCGTTAACACATCCATCCATTACCCCACCTTACTGCGTGGTTGAGAAGAGATAGAGAGTTAGAACCTTAATTCAATGGGGTAAGAGATTGGATTTAACCCAATCACAAAAACGTTTTTCAGTGGTAGGTCTAGGATCCCTGCTTTTGCGAAACCATTCACTAATGAGTTGATGTTTAAAAGCAACATTGCTGAGTCGGGCTTTGGAGGTTGTCACCGCGATTTGACATGTGTTTCATTTGTCATGACATGGAGTTTATATATATATATATATATATATATATATATATATAGATAATTTTTTTCTTTTACGATTAAATACTCTGTTTAGAATTTAATGTTGGTTAAATTTTTCATTTTAGGATTCAACTTAATATTTGGTTTAAATTAGGATGCTATTTTTTTTATCCTATTCATTTAAGAAAAATTAGTAAATTATTATTGCTAAAATTAAAAAATTCAAATTTATATTTATTAAAAATTACGTTCTAACAGTTAGTTCTAATAGCTGTGTTTATTAATTATATCATCGATATTTCTTTAAATAAACAGATCCCAAATTTATATCATAATTTGAACGAAATAGTAGGTTAATCCTGAAATAAAAACTTTGACAGTAGTCAAATTGTAGAGGAGGGCATATACGATGGATAATGGGGGCTTTCTCTCCCTTAAAAATCTTTTTAAGTTGAGGAATGCCTACTGGTGAGAGAAGAGAATGAACCTAAAACCCATTGAATCACTGCTGCAGAGACCAAGGCCATATACAATTGAAGGGTGGTGGTCGGTGTTTGAGATCAAATTAATGTAAATGTACACATTTCTTTGTATCCTACTGCTGACAAAAGTTCATAAATCATCCTTCAAAGGCATTTAGCAATCTTGTTTACCCATTGCCACTTTGGCATTCATTTCTGTTTTAATTAATCAATGCCCTTCCAAATTACATGGCTTGTTCTGGGCTTACCATTCAATCAGTTCTCTTACCTTTCTAACTCTTTCTACCACCTTTTGGCGAAACCTGAGGCCAAAGCGAAAGAGAGAATATCAGACTTGCTCGACAGAAATAAAGAATGAAGAATTTCATTGCTACTATACATAACTCAGTTTCATTATACAAGTAGTGAATACGTAAGGAGTGAATCCCACTTGGATTAGAAAAGCAAAATATATGAAGAAAATGAAAATTTGACTCACTCAACTCAATCACCTACAAAATTTTTCTTCATGGATCCCAACCTTTTTCGGTTTTTTCTGCATTTACCTACAGATATGCTAAAAGCTCAATGAAGAAACTAGAAAACATATGTTACAAACCCACCGCACATTTCCTTCGAAATAAAAATTGTGCCGAACCAGGTGCTCCCTTGATGATCTTTCAGCTTAGGGTATAAATACTCTCAACCTTAGCCTATACAGTGGCAAGATTTTACGCATATCCCTACATCGAACTTTTGACTCAATCACAACTCTATCCTTAGCCGTCGCATTTCAGCTCGAAATACAGGGCTTGAATTCAAAGTTCGACGAGCAAGACTCCTGATGTCCTCTCGAGAACAGTCCTGTGATATACGAACCAGCTCCCAGAGGGCACCTCCGCATATCATGTCCTTTGCATTAACTTCTGAAATTGCAAAAATGAAATCCTTCAAGAAATGTGTCTAACAGAGATTGATCATTTATAATGGAGAAGAAATTCAGCTTACCATGCTGCGCCAAATGGCATAGCGCAAGCTCAATGTGTCGCCTGATGGGTGCAGAATCATTATTAGCATTTTGCACAATCCATGGAAGTGCACCATCATCAATAAGAAGTGATCTCCCACTTTTTATACCTGGAGTAGGGCACAAGTAGACATAAGACGATGCTAAACAAGACAAAAGACCAATGTTGACACCATTTTGTTGCAGATTCTATTAACCTAAATGATCATGAAAGAATATATAGTTTGAAAGATTACACAGCTTAAATCAGGTTCAAACTTCAGAATAAAGTGAGTTATGGTCATATCGAAACACCAATTAACCAATTCCCATCCCCTCCAAAAGATAATTAAAAGGAACAATTAACTTTAGCAGCCAATTATCACACAATGGCATGCAACAGATTGAAGACTTACCATTAGTAGATGCACGGGATTCACATTTTGCAAAATTGGCAATTCCACGTGCAACTTGGGAAAGAACCTCTGGATGTCCGCATCTCACCATCCCCAGCAAGGCCTTAATTCCACCTTCAGACCTCAGCTTTGCTTGTAGCTTATCTGGAAGAAGCATGAGAGAATGTGAGAGAGGCAGGAAAAGCAGCCCACTTCAAGCCCTTCCCAAGAAACAGGATTTAAATACAAGAACAATTCTATTAAGTGGTTTAACCACTATAAGCATAACTACAATTTATCCTGGAAGCCTAAATGACGAAGCCAAAGGCATGAAAAATCCCTGTGAGATACTGACCATCATGCCTCTTCTTAACTTCAACGGTGTTCATATCATATATGATGCACTTAATAAATAAATGGAATGGAAGCAGCAAAGTAATGCATGCAATGAACAACCTCACAATGATCAAGAAATTCTTCATGCAGGAGCTTTATTTAAGCACATATCGAGTTATGTGATAATAGCAATCAATAATCATACTGATGATTGGAAAAAGGTGCCAAAATTTCCTTATAGAAATGTTTGTCTTACACATTTGCTAATGATCACCTGATTACCCTTATTTCAGTTCATTTCTTTCATTTATTTATTTATGGAAGTGTTCCTTCCTTTAGTCACCAAAGGAAGGGTTCTAACACCATTATAATATAAGAACCAACAACCTATTAGAAAGAGTGACGCAAAAGAAAATGCCATATACCATTGCCACATAGGTTAGCTATAGCTCCAGCAACCATGCGTAGAGTCTGAGGATCCTCAGCATCAGATGCTGTCATAGACAACAAACTGATTCCCCCTTGTACCATTATGAGTTCTTGATTGGCTTCTGCTTTGCCAAAAAGGAAACAATATTAAACCCATGTAGTTGAGGCTCAGAACCAATCGGTAGCCAAACTCTTAAGCAATGACACCAATTTAACAGCAAGATTGCTGTACTCAAAACTATATGAAGAATATTAAAGAACAATTACCATTCATTGCAAGATTGGCAATTGCACCTGCTGCTACTCTGCGAACAGTTTCATCCTCATAGCTTCTGAGAAGCATCAGCAAGGAAGTAAGACCACCAGCTTCAACAATCCTTTCCTGGTTTGCTTCTGTACAGTACATGGTAAGTACACCTCATCACTTACAAAAACAAAAACAAGTTAAACATGTCTCTATACATAAAAAGACATAAGACAATTTTGTTTATGCATTTATCATCGATAAAGCTTGTCAAACACAGATTTACCCGAGGATAACACTTATAAAAAGCAAATTAACATTAAACGAACTGAACTTCTTTGAACAATTACTCCTTTTCCAACAGGAGGAACGATGAACTCTCTTCAGACAAAAAAGGGTAGCAATACTAGTTTGGCTAACCAACAGAAGCAGACTGGTGCAGTTGCTAAAGCAACAAACAAGGTAATATACAGGGGTCTAATGTTTGGTTTTTAAAGCTGACATATTGTGATTATTTTCACCCAAAATCACTCTGTAACAGGAGAATAAGCAATTAGCACCCACGGCACTTTTACAACCAATTCTTCCCAAAGAAAGACTACACAATGAAAAGATAAGCAACTAATCCATCAACTCCCCATCCAGAGCACCTTAAGTAACAGCACATGAAATCAAAACTCTTACTCACCTTCAGCTGCTAGGTTGGCCACTACTTTTACGGCATGAATGCGTACATTGGCATCTTCTGACTCAAGCAAAGCCAAGATCTTTTGCAGTCCAACTGGTAAATTGATAGAAGGAACAATAAGAAATACATAGACAAAAAAGGTGTTTACAGGATATTATGACATAGAAACTATTTTACCACCTTGTTCGAATAGTGCAGCAACTGGTGTCTTATGTCCATTTAAAGAGTCCCTAACTTGAGACATGGGAGAATCTAGACCAGTATAAGCATTTCCAGATCCACCTCTTCCAAGACACCTTCTCAACTACATATGGAAAATAAAAATGAAATGGTTAACCAGCATAAATGTGTGCTTGTGTTTGATGCCAATGATGGACAAGAATGATAAAGTCTCATAGATAATAATGCATGAAATTGTCACTCAAGCGCTTTAAAGGGAAAAGCTATCACATAGAAGTGTGATTCAGTAATTCTAAGGGAAGTTCAATGCAAGCAGCAAAATGGAAAAAGCCAGGGAGTTGATATTGTGAACAGATACTAGACCATTACATTGACGAGTAATATCAACAGTTGAAAGCTCAAATACTCAACAAGTCAAAATACATATATATCGAGCATCAATTGTATTAATGATAAGTTAATAATGGCATAAAAGCATGCTTAACTTCCACAATTCCAATACCTGCTCAGCTTCAAAAGTCAGTTGTAACATCTGACTTCTTAGTATTATTATTTCTTCTTCAAGCTTCTTTTTTTGATGACCCTCATCCTCCAGAGCTTTTTGGAGCTTTAATATTTCAGCAGCTCCACCTGCCTAATATGCCAAAATAATCCTCATACAACCAATTCCTCATCTAGAAGTCAATAGAAGCTCAGAGAATTTGAGATAAATATATTCAGTATCCGCATAACAAGCATACCCCTGAATCTGTGCATTGCCCTAATTGACTCCTAAGTTTGTTGACCTCCTCTTCAGCATCCTTTCTCATATTAATTTCTTTCTCAAGCAGCCTTTTGACCTCAACAACATCCTCAGCAATGGAAAAACCAGGCCCCTGAAAATTATGATGAAGACAAAAAAGGTGAACACAATACAAACACAAGATGGCCCAAAATCCTAGGTATAAATAGTAATGCCAACTCATTTGCTACAATTAAAGCCTTTGTAGTTTCATCATCATGCAACTAAAATGCGTCCAACAACAACAACAAAAACAGAATTGTTTACCACTGAGTTGGATCAGCCATCCGAGTCAACAACAAGAAATTAATATTCATTTCAAAAATTGACAAGTAAGATAGATCAAAGCAAGTTTGGGTTCATCATATCTTCCACTAAACTCATGTAAAAGAAAAAAGAAAGAACTTTTAAAATTGCTTTTAGAGATGGTTGACACAATATGGGATAAAAATCTGATCGATGGATTCATGCCCCCGAAAAATTAGAAAGACTTGCTCCAATAACGAGGCATTAATTGCTACTACATTTCTAAACACATGGAACATATGTAATAGTAAAGCTGCAAGAATAATGCAAAAATCCTTGATGATGTTAATGAAAATAAATTGCATGCCTGACAGCAAAAATGGGGCCCAAACGGCTAGTCATGAAATAATGTAAAAAATTTGAGATGACACAAGATATGGTCCTTGATGCAGAGTACCTTCCCATTACATTTATCGTTCATGAAGCCATCGCATCCATGCTTTCCTTGATTTTCTATCATCTTTTCCTCAAGCTTCTTAACTGATTCCATATATTCCATCTGGCACTTTAGCCGCTCCTTCTGCAAAAGGAACGCACTAGAAGTTCAGTATCAACATATCACACTCCCAAGCAAGTAAGTGTTTCAAAACAACTAAAAATAAGAAAACCACGAGGTGAAAGAATCACTAATCTGGAAATGATGAATTACTGAACTAACCTCTAAGGCATCTGTGAAATTTCTCTCAACCTCAGAAGCACGGTTTTGTGCTTCTAAGTTTATTCTTTCAACTTCATCATCAAAAGCTTTCTGTTGCCTTTCATTTTCTGCAATGAGCTTGTCCAGCTGTATTTCAAGCCTTCTAGCCAAACTCTTATAATCAAACTCTTCCTTTATTCTCAGCATGTTCTCCACTTTCATAGCCTGTAAGAAATGGAATAATGCAAACAGTCAAGTAAAACCATCCTATTTCTACATATATTGGAGACAACATTACACAAGACATGAAGAAATGAACAGATGAAATAAATGTCATGAAATGAAATCGAGCTATTCAAACAAGGATGAAAGATAGCTCAACTATAAATACATTGCATCTTGGTCAAAGTTTACTTTATAATTGGCAAGTTGTTTGATAGCAGATATTACGCAGAGTAAATGCATGATAGGTTATAGTTTGAGTCCTTTTTAATATAAGAACTCACCCTTTGGCCAAACAATATTGTACTAGCGGTCTCTCCTCGATGCCGTGGGGAGGGGCCAATGGCCACAATTAGTGAGGTTCTGGCAGTGCCTGCAGTACATAGAATCTACCTGATAATAACTCTAGAAAGCATTCAACTTACTAGATAAAATATCCAAAAGAAATATATAAAAAATATATATAGTAAAAATCATCTTAAAAGCTTAGGTCAGGTCAAAAGTCCAGACACATATTGACTTACATGAACATAGAAGATAACTCACCTCCAAATGAATCTCTGAGCAGCCTTGTAAGTTTTGAATCACGAACTGGAACATGAGCACTATTCTCTGCTAAAGCGTTAATGCACTTCCCCAAAGCACTCAGTGAAAGGTTAATAGACTTAGCTTCCTCCAACATGTGTCCCTCACTTCCTGCCAAAAGCAGAGTGAATCAAATTCACCATCTACCTAAGGAATCCAACTCATCGCACTTCCAGCACTTGGGGAAGTCTATAGCTCTATAGGTAGGACTAGGCTAAACAAGTAAAATTTATCAGGAAAAGACATCAACACCGGCCAGATGCAATGCTCAACAAGTTTAGGTAGTGAAGGACAGAAAAAAAAATGCTCTCCAAAATGCAGAATGCAATCAACTTGCAACTGGAGGGGGAAAAAAAAAGCCATGGTATGCACCTGACTTGTGAACACGCTCTGAACCTGCCAAATCTACCAAAACCAGCTTGCTTCTCCGGATAAGAGGCTTTGGAAGTTTCACAAAGTGAGAAGACTTCTCTATTTCACTTGGAATTGCATCTTCCACTCCCAAAACTGATCTCTTAACATGTACCTGCACTAAGATGGTTCAATATTTAATACTTCGCGAAAAGGATAATACAACAGCATAAACAACTACAGGTAAGATTATGAAAAAATGGCGCATAGCGACTGGGAATGGGAAGAGCAGAAGAGGAAAATTAGTCACCATCAAAATAGCATGACTGCGAGAAGATTCAGTATTCAACTTTGTATTTGCGGCAATTCGATGAGCTTCCCCTAATCTCAACAGCTCCAAAAAACTATGCTCATCCCTAATTTCTACATGAGTTGCCCCTGGTAAAGAAACATCTCCAGTTTTCGGATCTTCCACTATGGAAATATTATCATTTGCCGGATCAAGGAGATCCTGGATAGCCTCCATGTAAAGCTACAATGACACATTGAAAATAAACTCATAAAAATTCTTACTGATAACACACAAGCCCAACAGGAATATGAACAGAAAGTTTAATAAAAATATCAGACAACATGTAATGGAACAAAAAGAAAAATTCAAAATCCAATAAGCAGTAAATACAAAATAACACATTGCATAGACACAATGCCATCAAAGAAATCGCATTGAAATAATTGCACAATTGAGCATTCATAAAATAAAAATCAAGAGCCTAACAACCTGCAAATATGAAACAGAGACAGAATCTGTTTCCAGAGAAACATTTGCTAAAATCTCCTCCATTGAGCGCACCATTATTCCACGAGCAGAGGTATCTTCCTCACCCAATCGTCCAAGAGTAAAAGTTTTCCCAGTTCCAGTCTGCCCATAAGCCATAACAGTCCCATTGTAACCATCCAGAACACTCTGCAGACGCCAAAGCAGCATCAATACATAGTCCCCTAAGACTAAACAATATATATCCATTTAAGCACTTCTTGCTCGTTAAGGTAAATGAAAAAGATGATTTAGGGATACAACAGAATATTACACCCGCATAATTTCAATGACATTATAATATAAAACTAAGAAAACGTTTCAAAAATGAAAGAAACCTCTACAACAGGCTTAGCAACAACTTCATAGACACGTTTCTGCGAAGCGAATTCGGTAAGCACGTCATCAAACTCGTATGTTTCTGAATCCCAATTGTTCTTCCTGAGTTTAAGCCTCTTAAGCTACAAACAATAATAACAAAAATAGTAAAAATAAAATAAAATTATAACCATCTAGAGTCAGGGTAACTAAACTGAAAATGAGAGTTCTTAAATTGCACCTCAGGTTGTAATTCTACGCAATCGGCAAAATCTGCGTCTGCAACCAACTCTTCCGCATTTCGCGGCCGTAATCTAACGGCTACTCGAACTCTTCCTGGCACTGAAAAAAAAAAGCAAGCAAATTAAAACATATTTATTAATATTTAACTTTGTTCGAAAATCGCATTCTGAAATCAAATAAAAGGAAAAGCTAACCTCCGTCGTCTCTGGCGGCGGTGGTGAAAGAAGCGGAGTTGGTCCGGCGAAGAGCAGATCCTGGAGACTGATTTGAAGGAGGAAGTCTTGATTTGAACGAAGATGACTTGAGATTTGATGAATTTGCTGCACTGGGAGGCTTAACTGTTCCCTTGTGCATACCATTTCTATTACCACCGGAAGCCATCACTTGTTTTCTTTATTTTTTTACTCTTTTGAGTTTGGCTTGTTTTCAAAGAATTTTAAAGCAATGAATAAATATAGAAAGCAGGCGTAGTTACAGTGCTAATTTTCGGTGTCGGAATTGGATTTCGTTCAAAACAAAGGGATGATGGAGGGAGAGGGGAGAAAGGGACCCACTGTGTTGGGAGAAGACAGAAGCGCACAGCTTTATGGCCCCACCCCTCTCAAAGTTAAAATTTCCGAAATTACCACAATACTCTTCTCTGCGTTTTTTTTTTTTTGTCTTTTTGTCAATTTGCGGTGATTTTGTAAGAAAACAAACCATTATTGGTACTGGATCTAGTGGGCCGCTTAAATTCCCCCTGTTGGTCGTGAGGCGGCCAGCGCGGCAGTTCCTTCAAAGTGACTAAATTGCCCTTCACCTCTCACGATCGATAAAGCTGGAAGCTTTAAAAACTGGAAGCCAACTCTTGCTGTTCGTTTCGTACAGTATCTTACCACCGACTTTGTCCGTGTTTGAAGCTTGATTCGTCGCTTTGAACCTTGAGGTTTACCACGTTAAAAGGCCAAACATAAGATTTTCTTTTAATATTTATTTTGAAACTTTTTTAAATTTTTATTATTATATGTTTATGAGATTATATTTTGTGAGTAAATAATGATATATAATAAATATTATATACTGATAGTATTATCAAATATAAATAAATTTTTTTATGAAAATATATTTTATGACTATCGATTTTATATATATA